ACTTTTTATGAACTTTGATGAATATACATGCATGTATATTCCACGAACATTCATGTTAGGAATGTTCAACCATGTATATTCCCAGGATATTCCCGTAATGTTCTGTATATTTTTTGAACATTCTGGGATATTCATAGAATATCAAATGCTATCTGGGAGGCAAGGAACAAAGGACTTTATTTGCGTTTGCCTAAACTATCAACAATACTGAGTTTTGCACTAACACTATAACAGAGTTCGTCTTCGGAACAATAGCGAAATATTGCTGGAGTGATTTTTTTGCGCGATTAATGATGGAAGAACTCCGTATGACTGTGAAAGTACAGACCGTTCAATTTTTATCCATTTTAGATTGTCATTGAGCAAGTACCGTTGGAGTGAATTGGAGCAGTGAAATCCTCCACAACAGCCACTGGGAGCATGACCAATGGATGAGGACTACTTTTTAAGAGAATAAGATTCCTCATATTCCCATATAATTGATTTTGTGAGATTGTCCCGTATATTAACTTTTGCTTTGATTTCCAGTAGAACTTTTGTTGAACTAAGTTTGAATTACTTTAGGTCGACTTGCAAAATGTTACTATTAATATTTATATATTTTTTTAGTGCAATTTCCTAACCTTTTCTATCAAAGTTTATATTCTCGTATACCTGCAAGATTGTTAGTTGTATGTTATAAAAGTCAATATATTGGTTTAACGCTGTTTAGCTCAAGTGAAAATCCAGAAGTAATCCGTCGCTCTTAAGAGGCGCGGACAAAAAAAACTTTCACAAAATCCGACCTGGTTTGAATGCAGTTTTGCTCTTTAGAGACTTTTGCACAACAAATCGGACAATACTCATTTTTTCAAAAAAAATTAAATAAAAATTTCACATGCGTGTTTTGTGAGCTCAATCGATTTCTTTAGATGCCGGAAGGTCACAAATATGCATTTATAAAGTGTTTGGGTCAATAATAAGGAAGAAATCGTCCGCTAAAGATCGTGAACGCTCAAAAAACGCCTAAAATGTGTCGAAAATGTATATGATTTCGGACCTGAAACTTCCAGCATATTTTTAATTTTTTCAAAAAATCGACCTCCACCCTTAGAAAAATTTCTGCCAAAAATCAAAATTTGCAAAAATACACTACTTAATTAATTGCATGAAAAATCAGTCGGCGAAAAACGCCAAAAAACTAACTTAAATGATTTTGTCAGTCTTTGCATACATAAAGGAACAAAAGTAGCTTCGAAACCAATCACAGATTCTTGTGAGACAAATAGGCTTTACAAGAACAAAACATGTTGCCACTTCATTCATTATTTTCATTAAAACAACGCAACTGGCCTCTGTCAAAGTCTATCTTCAGTAAAACCAAAGAAAAAACATTGAACGCGCTACACCGTTTAATAACACCGCTAGTGAACATACGATCCACTAGACATGACGAAACAGAGCGTTTTCTGTTTTTGTTTTCCAATATTTAAAAAGTGTCGCTGTATCCAGATTCCACATAGAAAATCTGGTAAGTTTAATTTCGCCCCCTTTCAGAACGATTAGGTGAAGGGCACATTTTGCGATACTTTTATAGTCTTTAGATACGTATCGAGATCAACTTGGACGYATTATTGACGACATTGAACCTACCGTTAACTTTAAATGAGTTTTTCTTAGATTAACTAAAATAATTTCACCTGTTTGGGTATCCTGTTGCAATGCCGTTCTCACACTTTTGAGTTGAAATTTTCCCGGGGCGCCGCTGTCAGTCATTGTCGCTTGAGGTTATCTGCATTCGGAAAGTCCATAGCGCGCACTTTTGTCCGGTTAATGTAAGTACCGCGACACTTCAAAACACCGTTAAAGCGTTATTTGTATGTGAAATTCACTGAAAAGAACACAAAAGTGAGGCAAACAAAACCGAAAATTGCGGACCAGCGTAAAACTGTGTTCAAAGTTGACATTTGATGCTAGTGGCCTCTCTAATCCGTGCAGAAAACTACCTTTTATGAAATGCCACTAAACAAAAATCGCGAAAACATGCAATTTTATGGTTGGCCAGAATTACGGCTATTAACAAATTCTGCTATTTATTTATAGCTTGATTATTAGAATAGTTCTTTATAAGCAGGAAACTTGTTTCATGGCCGCTAGGCTAATAAAAGTTGTCAACGATAGTTTCAGTTTTCATGATATTTGACATCAAGATTTGACACCTGTCACACATTTGTTTTCATTCCAAAAGGTTTTTCAAATTTTCAGTGTCTTCATATACCCATAAAACATGAGTAACAAAAATAAGTATATACAGGTGGCCGGAAGCGCTGAGGGTATAACTAGTAGTGATAAAGTGGTACAAGAGATATTGAACACCTTCACTGATTTGAGACACTATTCCAGAGAAATTGAAAACGAACTGAAAGTTACTGAAAATCAATCAGTTAAGGTCTATATAAAGGAAAGTGAGAATATCAGCAGTTTGCATGCACAAATCACTGCATGCGACACAATATTGGAACGAATGGAAAATATGCTGATGGCATTCCAGAATGACTTGGGCAGCATCAGCAATGAAATTCTTACACTGCAACGTAAGTCGATATCAATGAGTCAAGAACTCACCAACAGGCAGGCAATTAGGGGCCAAGTTAGTCAGTTCATTGATGACATTTCGGTGCCCGAAACGCTGATTGTTGCCATTATGGATTTGCCAGTAACTGACAAAGAGTTCTTAGCTCAGCTGCAAATTCTCAGCCATAAAATAGGCTTTATTAAAGAACAGAGTTTTCGTGACACTAAGTCGTGCCAAGATGTTAAGGAAGTCCTGGAAAAGTTGCAAATAAAAGCAATGTCAAAAATCAGAATATTCCTATTAGAGCAAATATCCAAATTTAGACGGCCCATGACCAACTACCAAATACCTCAGAATGCTCTGTTAAAAAACAAGTGCCACTACGAGTTCCTGCTATTGAATGAGAGAAATACTGCAGAAGAAATCTGCCACGAGTATGTAGACACGATGAGCAAAATCTACTTTTCCTACTTCAAATCCTACGAGGGCAGAATAATGAAGTTATTGTATGAGGAAAGTACGACTAAAGACGACCTGATGGGCATTGAAGACACCGCAACAAGAGGCCTATTCAACAAAAGCCTCAAGCATAAAGCTACCGTGTTTACCATTGGCAATAGAGGCGATGTTTTAGCGCAACAGTTAGAAGCCCCCATCATAGTGCCTCATGCTGAAATTAAGAATAAAGTAAGTTCACATTTTTTTCATAAATGTTCTGTAATCTCTTCTTAGTGGTGTTTCTTGGGGAAATTCAAGCTTTTCACTCATTGATTGAAAATCACAACGTTTCCTTCCATTACATAAAATTTCACAGTTGCCAAATTCATTTTTGTATATTTTACAACAGCAATAATTTTGTTCGTACTTGATTTTTCTCTAAACAGTGTAAATTGTAAGTGTTTATGGTAAATTTCCAGTATTCGTACGAAGCAATATTTCGAAGCATTCAATATGCTTTAGTAGACAATGCATGCAGAGAGTACTTGTTTATCAGCGAATACTTTATGGTGCAAAACCAACCAGCTCTTCAGCTCTTCAACAAAATCATGGGCAAAACCGTAAATCTTCTACAGGTAACTCGCCGTGCGTTGGTGCTTGTAACGTTTTGTTGTACATCTTTATACAATTTGCAGAAGAATATTGAGCAATACATTTCCACATGCTTTGACTCGATAGCGATTTTTCTTTGCTTCCACTTGGTGTTGAGGTATAAAATAATGTGTCACAAAAGATGCGTACCAGCTCTGGACGACTACTGGGACATGATGGAAAGAGTTTTGCTACCCAGATTCGAATATATCTTGAAACTGAATATAAACAGTATTAGGGACTGTGATGTCACAAAGTTTAACTTGGAGAAAGGCCCACATTATGTAAGCTTAGGAGGTTCTGATTGAGAATGCTGCAATTATCAAGTGGGTGTTTTAGATTGCAAGGCGATATGCAGAATTTAGTGCAGCAATTGTGAGTATTAGCGAAAATTTCCCCAATGAACTGATCACAAAGTTGCTGGCCGAGCTTCAAGAAGAGGTCGAAATGTTCATATTTCGCATGGCCGGTGCTTTCACTGAACGGAAAGATCAACTGATCTTCCTCATCAATAATTACGATATGATTCTGAATATTATAATGGAAAGAACTAGGGATAATTGCAAAGAAGCTGAAACGTTCAAATCGAGATTGTCGGCAAAGAGTGGAGAATACGCCGAACAGATTTTGTTTCCACATTTCGGAGAAATGATTCAATATGTGAAGGAATGTGAACATTACTTTGAACACTCCAAGCTGGATGAGTTGAAAGCGCTGGAGTCCAAGTCATTGGATATAGTGATGAACTTTTCCGATAACTGGAAAAAGTCTTTGGAGGACTTAAATCGAGAGGTCTTGCTGTCGTTTCCAAACCTTGTCACCGGAGCCAGTTTATTGCAGTTAGCTTTAACGCAATTAGTTCAGTATTACCATCGATTCCATAAGCTGCTGGTGCCTAATATTCGATCCCAGCTGGTTAATATTCATCATATTGTGGTGGAGATGAAAAAATACAAGACGCACTTTTAAACTGTTTTATTGATTATTTTATTTATTCAGTTGTTAAATATACCGAACATTTTTTTTCAAAAAAGGGATTTTGATTTTTGCGAGTACCTGCGTGAATTGACTAAATAGTTGAATGTATGTATTTGGAAAAACCGAAATAGCAAAGCTGCAGAAAACCCGACTTCACTTTCTCTTAGCTACTTTACGTCCTCGTCCACTTTAACAGATTTTTGCTTTGATCTTTTGTTTTCGAAAAACCCACCATCAACTTTATTTTTCTAATTGTTTATTAGCAAAATTTAAATTGAAACGTCGAGTAATAAAGCTGATAGTGTTGTCGGTTTTTCCCCATCTTTGCTATTTAAATCAAATTTTGAATTGTCGATCACTCAGAAACGAAATATACATCAAAACGCTCTTTTAATTGTTCATTGTATACGTCCATAACGCTGCCAAATTGTCATAAATTTCACAGAACACCTCTGAACAGATAATCACTAGCGCATATATCCTAGCTSACTCCTTGCTTAAATGACATCAATATATAAGCCTTGCTCTATGAATGACATGCGCAAGTCAGTTTGAGGTTACATTAATCAAAACAAACTTCTATTTACCAAAACGGGTATGTATTTTAGGGCAGAGACGAGTAGACAAGACTTGTCTGATTAGGGCTCGGAATCAAACTCGATCAATTCGAGTATTCGAATATTCAAAAAGCGAATAATTATGTCTAGTCATAACTCGAAAATTCGAATACTGGAATACACCAACATTATCAAACTCACACACTTTGTATACTTTTATAAAATAAGTTATTCATATTCTWCAAGCATTTAAACAAATAGTTATATATTTACAAGCAAATGAAAAKAATTAKTTACCCTCMAGCAAATGAATATAAAATTACGTGTTTGTGTTCTGGTGACTCGCGACATCAACTTTTSCGCGGTGTTACAATTAGTGTGCCGACAAAGGCACTTTTTYATCCGTTGCGGCTTATTTAGAGTTTGATTCCGAGCCCTAATGCATACCCGTTTTAGTAAATAGAAGTTTGTTTTGATTAACGTAACCTCAAACTGACTTGCGCATGTCATTTAAGTAAGGAGTCAGTTACGATATATGCGCTAGTACAGATAACCTTTCTAATGTCAATTTTTAAGTCAAAATTAGAATCAATAACATAATAACAACATTAACTAAAGAATTCCATATACAAAACAAAATAAAATGGACTTCAACTTTAAGAACATGGTTAAAGATGCGGGAATAGCGCTGACCAGAGCTGTTCAGGTAAGGAATATTCCTGGACTTTTTTGGGGTTCCAAGTGGTTGATTTTGTGTTCGTGTGTTTTGGCCAGTTTACTGAAGAAAAATTAGGAAAGTCCGAGAAAACCGAGCTGGATGCCAACTTTGAAAACCTATGGGAACGGGCAGAAAATACGAAAAAAATCACAGAGAAAATCGTGAAAAATGCAGAAGCAGTGCTCATTCCCAATCCTGGAAACAGGATGGAAGACTACGTATTCGAAATCATCGAGAAACAGAAACCCTCGCGGCTCAGCAATTTGGAGTACTTAGGTTCGATATTGTCACGACTGAAAATATCACATTTTAAATCAACTGTACCTTCCAGGCCAGGATATGGTGGAAGCTGGCACTTCCCTAGGACCTGGAACAGCCTATGGAAGTGCCCTAATCAAAGTGGGACAATGGGAACAAAAACTGGGGCAAAATGAGCGTGATTTCATTGGCTCGGCAGGCATGTGCTTCACACAGCCGCTGAGAAAATTCCTTGACACCGAAATGAAAACCATTCTTAGAGAACAAGGAATCTTGGAAATGAAGAGGTATTTTTTATTATTGGGACATTTTGCACTTGTTTCAATGTGCATTGAACTATTGCAAAAATTTAGTTTGCCTTTTTCACTCAATTTCTTGCTCTCAGAGCAGATAACGAATAACCTTTTATACATATAAAGGCCGTTTAGCTTATCTTCGAAATAATCACTTGAGTCCTAATTACAGTGTTTTGTTTGGGATTTACCGTTATATAATTGTTTATTTCCAAATAAAAAAATATCGAACTTAATTTCAGTGAAAAAGAGTTCACTCAAGTACCCTAAACTGACTGATATTTAAAGATTTTCCATGAATAGTTCAATAACGGCCGAGCAATTTCAAGTTAACAATCTGGTATATTACCATTAGAAACTATTGCCTAAACAATGTTTTAAACCAGCGATTAGTAGTCTACTAATCTCTGTTTAAACATGGTGTTCTAGGGTATTAAATGTGTATTTAAAGTAATATTTTAAAGCACAATTGTTTAATTTTTTGGGTTTCAGGCTGGACCTTGATGCTTGTAAGAACCGGGCCCGAAAGACCAGAAGTATGTTAGGACAAGGCACTGTAAGTATTTGAAGTACTTTAATTTTCTGCAAACTCCTCACAAATCCATAGCTCTAAACCAGAGTGCTCAATACAGCAACATTTGATTACTATCACCATATTTTATACGGAATGGTTCAGATGTTGCCGTTCAACATTGAAGAAATGTATGCCTGAATCTGATTTTGATCGCTAATTTTATTGAAATCTGTCTGAAGTTATATTCAAAAGAGCCTTGATTTAACCAGACGTACAGAGAAAAGTGGAAATTATTATGAAGCCTTAAACGAACAGTTTTTGGCTTATTTCCAAAATTGTTTCCTCTAGATTCAATAAAAGTAGACAATCCGGACTTATACTCACAACAAGGAACAGGGATTATTCTCGTTCTCTATTATGTTTGATGGCAGCATCTGAAACTGCTTGTATTCGGCATGAAACATCCACTTTTTGCCAAACTACCAAGTAGGTATTTTGTTAAACACTCAAATTATGCAACACCGTCACTTACACCTTTATCTACTAAAGTAATAAATGATAAAATACCTACTTTTAAATGCTGCAAAGGGAAAGGATGATGTGCCCCCCGAAATACTATTGGAACAGGTATTTTATAAAGCTTTTACAAGTTGAATGGAGTAGTTTTCAGTAGATATGCATCATAGTTATTGTTACTAAAAGCCCATTTTGCAGGCGGAAAGAGACCTAAGAATTGCACAGTCCGAGTTTGATCGACAAACAGAAATCACCAAATTGCTGCTCGAGGGTCTTAGTTCGTCTCATGCTGCGCACTTGAGATGCTTGTATGAGTTTGTCGAAACGCAAGCTCGGTTTTACTCTCAATGTACTACGATTATGACTGATTTGCAACGAGAACTATCAAGGTACGGATGCAAATCAATTTTATCTGGATAACAATTCTGTTATAACCCAATACTAACAATAATGTGCGGTTTTTGCATCAGTTTATTTCTTCGCAGCCATCATTTCATAGCGTCAAGCATGTAAACTTTTTCAGCTCAGCTAAACCCAGTCCCATGCTCCGACTTAACAGTGAGGATTTGGAAGCGATACCTTCTAAAAATCATGATGAAACATTTACGTCTGTTCCCATTAAGTCTTCCCAAAGCAATGAGCAATAACTTCTTGATTACAGTTTACTTTGCTCGTTTAAATGCATTTTTTCGCTTCTATAAAGCTGATTTTAATTCCGAAACATGTTAGGCATCTTTTACGTATCATTTGCTTTCTTCGCTTATTTATGCAGTAAAGATTGCATGCATATTTAATGAGCAAAGTGTTTGTTCCAACTGTCATTATCATCGTAGTTTAGCCAGTAGTAACGCCCCAAACACCCCCACATTTACTATTAGCGATGACTCGTTTGAAGTTCGTGAACAGAGAGATGCTAAAGTGTTGTATGATTACGAGGCAAAAGATGCTACAGAGCTCAACCTAAAGGCCAACGAGGTAACAAGCATGTAGTTGGAGTTTTCTGTCATCTATTGCGGTCATTTTTTAGATAATTAGAGTCACGGATATTGCAGATGACGATTACATGATGGGACACAAAGACAACAAAACTGGAAAGGTTCCGAAAACGTTTCTGGAATTTGTCAATTAAACAATCAAAATACTCGCTCCATGTTACGCCATAGATTTAGTAGAAAATGCTCATTGAATTGCTCTGAAAAATTACATTGTTTTTAAGTGGCCGTTATTGTTTTAACAAGTCTCTCTTTGTAGAGTGCGGCAACAAAACTACGAAGTTTTACTGCCTCGCTGCACTCTCTCTTAATATCTTAAGCACGTCATATTTGCTCGAGTCTCAATATTGCACCAAACCAAAAATCTACGTTCTTTATTCTCCACTGTATGATAATTAGCCTTGTTCTTAGAATGCGTTTATCTAGAAGACAGCATTTGTCCTATACGAAACACGTAGTCAATTCGATGCAATAATTCATTGATTGCAAACATGTTTTAAGTAATTCGCAAAAACATCGCATTTTGTAGAGATTGTTGTCATTTTCAAACATCGAGCTGCTTATCATTGAACAGCTTTTAGAATGATCTTCTATACATGTATATTAATGCACTTTCGGGACTTAGCCAATATCCTCCTTTTCACCCAATTATTGTACTCTTCTATATAATATATGTATTGGGAAATTATCTCGACCATGTCAATAACGTTGTTGTTGTTGTTGTTATTAATAAACTTGCATACCTATAAGTTTAGGAAAAGTTAAACAAATCAGTTCACATTTTCCCAACGCGACTTCAGCATGACTGTGACAAATTTGATAATGTCAGCTCAATTCGAAATTAACCAGTACGAGCCCTGCATAAAAATGGGATGGGCGAAGAAATCAACTCAAAGAGCAAAAAGAAAGTAATCAAAGTGAGAAAGTTGCAAACAAATAATGAAAATCCCGGCCCCAGTGAAACTGTTAGTCGACATAGTTCTCACCTATCGACAGAATCTTATTCTTACAAGTTATGTAAGTTTTTTGTGGTAGTTATTCTTCTATTGGAAGTGTGTGTATCAATTTTTACTCATTTAGTTAGTCCAGACCGAATTAATGGTAGCACCGATCAGGAGGAGGAACTTCAAATTATAGACTTTGATGAATCGTCTTCATGTTCTTCAAAACACCCGATCGAATTTATGTTTCCCCATTTGTCTCAAGAGGGTGTCGATATTAATAATTTGACTAGAACTCTGCCAACCAACGACTTAACCAGGCTTTTGACGGGACACAAGGCTAATTTTTCAAATATATATAATCAAACTCGAAGAAGAAACGCAGTAAGTACTTTCATCTCAAAGCTAGTTAAAAGCAAGTTCCGGTAAATTTAATAGGAGACTGAAGTAGTAAATTCTTACGCGCTTTTCTTACTAAAACAGCAAAAAGATCATTTTTTTATATTTGAGATTGACTTCACTCCGATACTTGAAAGAATTGAAGATGAGTCATCAGTAGAGAGTATAGACAAACCGATTAAAAAATGTAAGAAAATCGACCCTCAACGCCCCAGATTAGATTCGGCAGACGCCGATGTTGAGGATAGTGATTCCGAGGAAACATAAGGCGCAAAATACGAAAAACTTTACTTTATTAACACTTAAAAAACGTACATTTAGCTTAGATTTAAACATTATTGCAGCTGCCACAGTTGAATCGGTCGACAAGAATATCAAAATGCATTTGAAACGTTTATAAATGCACATGAATTCGTTCCATTTTATGGAATACTATTTCGATATTCTTGTCTTAAAAATACCCATTCTATGGATGCGTTTCTATTTAATGGTGAATCAGTCTGTTGGTCATCAGTCAATTGCAGTACATAAAGAACAGACTGACATTTCAAGTATATAATGAGAACACATATTTATACTGGCTAAACAGTCAAACATCTGCTGCGTCTTGTCGACCAGAAAGAACATAACGATTTATTTGTGCGCTTTCAGCTGCTTTTGCTAGTAATTTTGAATGAAACTTCCTTGATAGCTCTGGATTAGTTATCAATAAACATGTGTTCTCTAAATTATTGTTAGGAATACAAAAATATCGCTGGTAGAGAATCACGTTAATTTTAAAGGGGAGTATAATTTTCAAGCAAATGTTCAAAGGCATCACAACATACAAATTTATAATGATGTTAAGACCAGGTGGTTAGTAAAATTGTGGCGAATCCCGTCAAAAATGCAGTTCTGAAAATTCCCATCTAATAGGAACTTCGTTCAAGTTCATGTGCAGGTGGTTACAACCCGCAACATACAAAAAAACGATTATAGCAAACGAATCAAAATCAAAAGGTTCAATTTTCATAAGTATTTATGTCCGAACTTTGGTGGTTGCAAGCCTGTAATTTAGGTATGAAATCTGTAATAAGCTCGTGTAGGACAGGCACCCAATAAAAAAGTTTATTTCCTGATACTCAATCGCATCCACTGAAATCATGGATTTCTTATAAATAATGCGGAGAGTGCTATTTAAAACGAAATCCTCAGAAACTGGTGGTTTTTCGCAAGTCTTCTCTTTGAATTGATGATGAGCCGTATCGCATTTTAAATAGCATTAAGACCGGATTTTCACATCGTATAAAAACGCTAACAAAAGAATTATATAAATTTACCCATATAAACTATTAACATCCATACCCAACCAACGCCAATCATTGAAATGCAAAGTTTCAACTTCTCAGTCGATTCACCGCTTTCGACGCCATGGAAGTAAAATCCGTAAACATCTAATTACGCCTCGGGGCAGCGTGAAATTGAAACTCGAATCCAACAAATGTCATTGGGACTTGATGCTAATCAGCTTCCGACTCCTGGCGCGAGCCTCTTGCCTTGTGTTGGTGTATTCGAACCATAAAACATTTGGTATCAATGTGGTGTCTCTGATCATTAATAGCTCGGAAACTCTCCTGCGGAAAAACCGATAATTTTTAGTTGAACACTGAAACTGATCAAAACCGTCAAAGGTTTCAGATTTAAGCACCCCCGTGAGCGGTTTCGAGTCTATTCGCCATCATTAGTTGTTTGACTTGTAATTTGCAAAATTCCACGTATCAATTCAAATCATGGCTCTCTCTTATCCATTTACTTATATAATTCTGATTTATTTTCCCAACTGTGTGTAATTGTTATGAAGTAAAGATTTTTAATATCGTTTATTTCATTACGTTTCGGCGAGACAACAGCGCCATCATCAGATTTAAAATTTACACAATCTCATAATTGATAAACATTAACGTCATTTAGGTCTTTGCCTAGAGCAAGACCTAAAAGGACGTTAATGTTTACCAATTATGAGATTGTGTAAATTTTAAATCTGATGATGGCGCTGTTGTCTCGCCGAAACGTAATGAAATAAACGATATTAACCATTTTTATTTCACACTTTGGCTGAGACCCAGGAAAGATAAGAAAATAATTACTTATATAAGTACGCTGTGAATGGGTAAAGTGTATTTTGTTTCTTTAGACGATTTCTTGTTCAAAGTTTCAGTTTTGATTAAATTGCAACTCATAAAATCTAAGAATGAAATTGCAGAACAGAGCAAAAGCCTCAAGTATTCTAGTTTGCATGGATATGTTTCTTCGGTCTGGAAATACACTGGACGAATGTTTGAAAACATCCAATTTCTTTCGCAAAGCATAACATCGATTCGTAGCAAAATTGAAATTTTCAACGCAGCGTTTTTATTTTAACGGAATACCAAGCATTGTTAGTTGATGGAATATTCCATGTTAGTAACGCATTTCTAAAGAATCTATTAAAGCTGATAAAGCAAACATTCCTTATCTCTGAATCCTCCTAATTGGCCAGCAAGTACTTTTGATGATAGCACTAAATTTCACCAGTTGAATAAAGCAAAACATCTCCACTCAAAAGGGGAGTGTTAATATCATACGTACACTCTCATCACTAGGAGCCTGAGATTGGCACGTTTTGAATCTCTCGACTTAAACTAATGCCTAAAAGAATGAGCGTTGAACTTACCAAGTTACAATGTGTGGAAACAGTGGAGTAAGAACTAACGAAGTGAGTGCAAACCAAGCGGTTGCAAACAGAAACCCTACGATGACGCCCCACAACACTTGCGACACTGTATGGTAGTGTAGATAAATTCGGCTGATACACACCAACACCGCTACAGTCATCGACGAAACAATGATCAGAATTTTTGAGATGTTTTCTATGATTGTGTTGTTGTTCATATGGTGCAACCTGAGAAGAAAACTCATTGTTAGAAATGTTGAATCTTTCGCCGCCACGAAGCATTTGCTCACCGTATAAAAACGAAGTACATTATGTAGCTAGCGAAAAATGATACGAATTGAGCGTGTGATGAGGGCATTCCGTATTCCACATGAACATCCTCCCTATGCAATGGCCGTTTTTCACATATCAAATGCTTCAGTATATAATTTAACGCTTCGGAACAAATAGTTCCCAGGAAAAATGTTACCTGGAATTGAAGAGAATTACTATAGATAAAACTAATAAATTGCTTTTCCATTTAAATCAAATGGATAAGGAGAAATAAAGGGTAACCTACGGTGTGCAGATCTCTCCTAAATAGTATCAATGCCACAAAACCTGCAGCTATACCAAACGGAGCTAAGCTGATCAGCGCAAACAATTTCCCAATGATGTCACCTAGAAAACAAGAATTTGCTTCTGAAAATGCGTTGCTAACATGCAATATTCTTGATATTCTATCAATATAACAATGTTAGTTATCCCATTGAAACTTGCGTAATTTCGGGGCCAAACGCGAAACGATGCGCTCAAAAATTTAAATTCTGCATCAATGCAAATGGCTTTAGGAAAGAAATTGGGATCTGCTGATGTTTTGAACTGTTTTCAAACAAAGTATATAAATAGAATCCAGATCGGGAAAAAATATCCAATCAAACCGTAACACTTGAGGCTGTTGCTCTGTCCTGTAATTGTATTATTGAGCAAATTGAAAACTAGAAAACCTCCAATATCAGTCTTTTCACAAATGAAATGATTTAAATTTGAACACAGTCAGGAATATAATAATTCTAAACACAATCAATAGCTATGGAAAGTGTTGAACTTAATGACGGAAAAGGAGTTTAATATACTGAAACTGTTCACAAATGGTCACATTTCAAGCAAGCATTTGCTTCATTCAACGAATGCAATGGAAATTGTTTCGCAATATCCAAACACTGCAGTCATCAAAAGTACTTACTTGTTGGCTAATTGAGAGGTTTGTTAACTACCGGAAGCAATTGAAATATAGCAAAAGATAAGTGATTTGAATTGATAAGTAGATGCTTTTGGTTGAGAGTCAACGCTTGATGTGGTCTTCTAGATAAAATTAACTCAATCTTTTAAAATAGAGCTTTAGTGGAGCCCTGAGAGGCATAAAGGTCTCAATCATTCCTTAATAAAACAGATCAGCGTAGTGCTGAAAATCACATATAGTTACCTTCCGGATACTCCACCAACGTCAGCGAAAGGGGCACCCATTTGTATACATTACTATCATCTGAGTACTGTATATTAGAAGCTGTTCTAGCCTCACTGTCCATTTTGCATTTTCCTTTGGAAACTTGATACGGAAAAACTAAAGTGCCGCTAAAGTTCTAAGCAGGATTCGGTGGACTTTTGGCTCACGAAACTCAACACAGGCGAGTTGCAGAGAGCCGAAGTGCTACTAATTCGGAATTTTGGAAAGTTTTTACCCTCTAGAATCTGAAGTATTCTCAAGAGCTTGTTGTGGCATGTGTCAGTTTTGAGGCAATCGTCAGCTGTTGAGCAATTATGGAGGGGCAAAACATAACCTTTGAGTTATTTGAACAGGACAGGCTCGAGCCATTTTAATGTGTTGAAAATTTCTTTAGATCAGACGACAATTATTTTGCGGGCTGATTGATTCTTGAATAGACGCGCAAAATGAGTGGTCTATTTTCTTTTAATAATGCATGCGCGACAGAGATACATATTCCGTTTGATTTTGTTCAAATAAAGTGAACATCGGGAATACTTGATTGTCGCCTGTCTAACGTCTGATTAATCACGTCAACACCTAACCGCGCTTTGCCATTTAAAACGCCAGTTTCAGGACAAATTGCAGTTTAATGCAAAACGGTTTATAGTTGCAAGGTAATTATCGTTTAATAGCGATAAATTATAGCAAAAACGCGGATTAATTTGCGCTCATTGGCAGGTTATTGCCCCTTACAAGTTTTGACGGATCTGTCAATGTTTCGGCACAAAAGTTTCGCATGTAAAATTTCAGATTTGTTCATCTTACTTAATTGTTATGCAATATTGGGCTCTGAATAGCTACCTAACAATCTTAACTATTTGGACTTTGTCTGATCAATTTATAACACCTGGCCTACCTATGGGAAGCTAAAGTCAGTGACAGAACATGATGTGACCTGCTTCTGGGATCGATAGTTGCCTCAAATAAGAAAAACTGTGTTGAAATAGTCGCGCCTGTTTTATCCAGTAGAGGTAGATAATGTTGGTGCCAATTGCCATGAGTAGACGGGTTCTGGGTACCCTACTAATACGGTAAGAACGAAAATTTCCAGTCCTTCACTGAGCTATTTTACTATTTGTTTATTCCTCGCACTTGACCTCTGACCTGGTGCAGTGTTGATATCTTTGGACCGTGTTGAAAACATGATATTTCTAGTAATTACCAGGTGATGACTCCGAATGGGCCAGCAAAAGCCATGAGCCTCTTGCACAGTGGCTTACCCCTTACCGGGTACCAGTTCACTCCAAATATGAAGGAACAAATCAGGAATGGATCCACTCAACAGCCCGATATTAAGGTCACATTAAACGAATGTAAATTAAAATCCAGTCCAAATGCAATATTGTTTGGGTATTTCATGAATAATACTCTTCCAGTGAAACTGGCCTTTGCTAAGGAAATGGGCGTCGACCATCCATTTAAGCCGTTTGCTAATGACCGCGAGCATCTTACCAAGTATCTTCCAAAATCGCAGGAAGAAATGCCTAAAAGGTCTATGCAGGACAGCTATATTGCGGCAAGCATCCCTCTATCGCAAGACACTGCTCTGCAGGAAAAATACGTTACCTTTCTCGGGTCAGTCAGGCTGGGAAGGCTGGTGGAAGATATGGATATTTTTGCTGGTAAATAGCAATAACGAATTGAATTTTTTTAGTTTTTTTTTACCATGTTGGCGGTTTTTTCATTACAATCCGCTTGGCAATTGCAGTTACTATCTGAAATTGACTTGATTTTACTGATTTTTTTGTAATTTTTAGTAATTGTAGCACGCAAACACATCCTCAATCCCCAATTACCTGACGGAGTCCATTTTCCTCAGACCTTAGTCACAGTTCTAGTGGACCGAATTGACTTCACAGAATACTTGCCCAAAGTGAGCGATCATCATTTTACTGTTAATTGCGTTCTACAGCGCCAAATTTCCTTTTAGCCAAACAAGGATATAAAAATATCTGGCCATGTGAGTTGGGCGGGGAAATCCACCCTGGAAGTGGTAGTTTGGCTCGAACAGTTTGAAGATGGAAACTGGCAGCGCATCACTAGAGCGCTATTTTTACTAGCTGCTCGAGATCCGACCAACGCTTACGCCACCATGGTGAATCCCATAGATCCGGCTAATGAAAGAGAAAAAACCATTTTGGCTGGTGGCGAGGATAGAAAGAAACGACGACTGGAGATTGGGTTTGCCCATGTATCTAAGCAAGTACCAAGTGCACAGGAACAAAAACTGCTACACAGCATGTACATAAAAACAACCGACCCCAGTGATATCAGCATGTCGAAAAGAGTTTTACCTGCGAATAGCGCTTGGATGAGCAGTAGTAAAGTGTCGAACGTGATATTGGCTCAACCTGAAGACCGCAACTTACACAACACAGTATTCGGCGGCTTCATAATGAGACACGCGACGGAACTGAGTTGGATCGCCAGCTACATGTATTGCAAGTACAGACCCAGAACGAGAAGTATGAGTGATATTTCGTTTAAACAGCCAATCGCTGTGAATTCCCTCATTCAAATGCACGCAACTGTTGTTTACACACAAATGAACTTTATACAAACAACAGTGTTTGCTCAAGTTTACAATCCTTTGTCCGGATCCACTTCAACAACCAACGCTTTCCATTTTACCTTGGAGGCTCCGGATATTGTGCCAGAAGTGATTCCACAGACGTATTACGAAGCAATGTTGTATATTGATGGACGGCGACACTTCCAAAAAGATTTGAAAGATACCCAAGGTGCTTTCGATAGCAAACTGTGATAGGTAATACTAGTTTAATGCGATTAATGGTGGTTCTAATTTTTAGGAGTCTCATAGTGGCAAGCTGCAAATAATGTGTCTAATTTATTTAAGCTGTGGTGTTATCAATTCTATCTAGCCCTGGTCGCTTTTCTGCACTAGTCGGCTTCAAACCGTTTTTATAAACAATTAATTATAGAAATAGCAATTTTTCCTACTTACATACGCAACGTGTTAAGTAAATACATGGTTATGGTACTTGTTTCATATATTTTTGCATATCTATCGGAATTACATGTTAAAGATAATGTGTTGCCTTCAGACCTCAGTGATTCAAATAATTACATGATCCCAGTTATGACCAATCTAAATATACACTCTTATATTAATGCAAGATTATCCGGGAAAACTAAGGGCAATTTAAATCCAATATTTACAATRTAAAAATCCAAATGGGGGCGTATAAATATAAAAAGCTAGAAAATGTAGAAAAATACATTAAATCCCTTAACAATCGATAAATAAATTAATTAAAACCTCGTGTCCTTCAACATACAACGTAACGACTTAAAACTAGAACACCCGTTAAATTTGCACTGTTTTTATAGAAATCTAACAACAGCAAACAGACATAGTTTATCTAATCAATAAAGAAAGCTCTTATTAATGCGCACCTAATTTCTCAAGTAGTCGACTCAGACACTATTTAAATGTGTTGAATATTTTATCGATTATCTTCAGCAATTTTTATTGGAAAATACAAAACCATATCTAGTAGTTCGACAGTGTATGTAACAGTTCGAATAAAAAAGTTTCGTTCGTTAATAATATTCGAATAAAAAAATGGTAAAACGGTAAAAAACAACGAACATTTTAATATGCGCTAATCTATTATTCCTGAGTACCTATAAATTGACACACATTTCCATACACATTTAGTGGAAATGGAAGATTCAAATTAGGAACAGAGTGACAATAGATGAAAAGTACTGTGATTTATAGCAGCTAGACAATTAAGTATAAAATGCGACATTTTTGTGTGACTAGGTTTAAGCTTATACTATATATTCGCCGAAAGTAAGTAACCCGTTTGCAGGTAAAAATATCATCAATATTAGCTTCAATTCAACAAGAAAAAGTTCCAATCTGTTAGAATCTTGATATGTTTGTACAAGTAAATATTAAATTCTTCATTTGAAGATTCAACAGACAAAAAACATAAATAAAAACCATACCTTCATTTTGAGAACAATCTAAGATAAGATCGACAAGATCCTCAATGAGTAGCGATATAAACTACAATTAAAAATGTTTTAAAAGTTTTGCTGGCAAAACACACTGTAGGCAAGTTCTGCCTAATTCGAATTCACGCAAATAGTGAATATAAGAAAGGCCAAACCTAGGTTTTAACATCTAAGAAAAAACTACCCTCTCTACAGTGTGTTTTGCCATCAAAACTTTTAAAACATTTTTTATTGTAGTTTATATCCCCTTCGCTAAAAATCGATCTCTTCAGCTCACATTTTACATTCTTAGTGACCATCAATCACTGCATTGTTTCCTTCCACTTACCAAATATCAATAGCTTTCCTTTAAAGAAATTTAATTGTCTTCCGGATCTTCGTCGTCATCAAGCTCTTCTTTGGGCCTGGTCCATTTTATCATGGTCTCCGGCGACCGGAACAGGAATATTAATTTAGCAAAGAGATCTTCTTCAAGTGCGAATTCTCGGGCTTCTCGCACAAGATACACATCCAAAGTAAGCTGGAGTATTCTGTCCACGTTCGGAAGATCTTCGAACATTATCTTGGCCACTTGTTCAGCGAATATTCCTCTTAGAATTCGGGATGCGACTAGGACTAGAGTCGTGTAGAGTCCCGCAATTCTAAAAAAACAGATAATATTTGCCGCAACTTGAAATTGTCACAATCTTTAGAAGACACTTGATTCTACTTATGCGGAATTTTCATAAAATTCCAAATAGTTCCTTACCCTGAGCCCGTGATCACGTTCAAAGTCGATGGGAATATTTTATCGCTAAGCGCATAAATCACTAGCGAATCGTCGCAACCCTCATAAGCCAGGTCTTGCAAGTAACGTTTGTAGGTGGCATCTGAGCAATCTTCCTTTAGAGTCCACCATTCGTCGTTTGCTTGTTTGGACACGTTCAAAGTCAACGTTAAATTCCTGAATATCGGATTATGGGGATCCGATTCTGAAATGATTCACCGATCATGAAAGAAACCGACGATTTCGTCTTAAATTCGGTGTTGTTACCTTCAGATTCGCTGGCTAAAATCCCTTGATAGGGCTGCGAAGTGCCCAGGTTGGTGATTTTCAGGAATTTCGGAAGAATATTCTCAAGCAGAATTCGAGCTTGAGTCCCATTAACCAGCATAATGTACAAATTCTCCCGTTCGGGCGTGCCCGGTGGTAGCGAGATCTCCACATAGTTCGATATAATCCCTGAATCTGAAGAGCTGCTTGTCTTGTGAGACACTTTGTAGTCTAGTCTCACTTTAATAGGTTTGGCTGTGAAAATCAGGCAAATTACGTCCAATCGGCCATTCAGAATAATGTTGCTGCATTAACGTACTAGAGTTTACTTCCTGCTTCATCTTCTCCTTATCAGGAGGAGAAATACTCCACACTTTGGCTGAGTCCTGGCTAAATTTAGCTGCCACAATGTCTCCAGGATCGTAGTTATTTGAAAATATTTGCACTGCTCGCTTATTGTCTCTAAATTGGTTGAGAAGATTCTGGTAGTCGATGTCATTAAATCTGGAAAACACTTGTTTCAAGCCCTAAAGGAGTCGGAAAGACTTAAGGCACATACTGGAATAAAGAATTGCTTTGCGCCGACATTTGGTAAATTGGATCATATGGCCCGATCCTCAGCTCAAGAGTAATATCGTAGGGCGGGTTACTCTCTCCTACTGCTCGCCCAAGCGAGAAAAACACCAGCGGGAACCAAATAATACCGATGATGCCCACCAACAGACCTCCACCCATCAGATATTTCACCATGTAGCCTTTTTTGGTCCCTCTAGGCTGGGGATATTCGTCTTCCATATTTCGCGAACACTACAACAAACCATCAATGCTGCTTCTTTCGTGTTGAATGCAGTCCTCGCACCTTCAACAAAAATATGTGTGAGAAAATATCCTCCATTTTCAACCAGTCGAATACGCCCATCGAAGTCTCGGTCCACATCCAATCCATGACGGCTCTTAGCTCGAACAGGAAAGGCACTAGCATAAAACCTTTGAACAGGAACATGTTAACCATGCTGTAAGCCTTGCACAGGCAATTGCCTAAAATCCTCGAAGGGTATCCACAGCGAATTTGGTACGCCGATAGTAGGAAATAAATGCATTTCACCATGTAGTACACTTGGGGCGGAATCACGGTTTTAAATTCTCTGAAACCGCACAAATCAGTTGTAAATTTTCATTGCGGATGCAAACATACTTTTCAGTCACAACTGGGAAAAGAACAAAGAACCATATATGAAGCAGAATAATTTGCGTGAATTGGAATATCAGCTTTCCCAGGATGTTTCTTCGCAAGTAAATTCCGCGATCGATTATAATCAAAGTAAATTGCAAGATCAACATGAACAGAAACATGGGTGGGACGCGGTTCTCTTCCAGGTACGCTGCAAATCCGCCGTCGCTTGTTTGCGACTGAAAACATCAGAATTAAAAGATCATTGTTTACTCCTCTCAGTCATCAAACGGCTTACCCCAAATGATGAATATCCCACAAGCAGAACAAAGAAGTTGATAAAGTCGCAGAGGAACATAAACGTGTAGACATCTGCTGCGATGCGAGCAGTGGGATCTAGAAGATGTTCAAAGAAGATCTTCACTGACTCTGCATATTTGGCTGCCCTATAAATGCACC